TAGCTGAAAACTAATTATGCAAATCAGAAAATTAATATGAACAGATTTGAGTATAAAACTAATGAGGTCTGCGCAATGTAACAGAAAATCTATGTTTCCAAGTTTAATTGAAATGTGATTAGAACCAAAAAATTATGAATTATTCAGCTCATTAGGGAATTAATATGAACAGATTTTTACCCCAAACTAATTAGGTTTGTACATTGTCCTAGAGCATCTTTGTACTAAGTTTCATTGAAATGGAATAATTAGTACTTTAGATATCAGTGTGAAAGCTTAAAATTGGTTAATTATGCAAATTAGGTAATTAATATGTACAGACAATTATCCAGGTCTGTCTATTGTCCTACAGCATCCATGTACATTCATTGATATGTGATGTTTAGTACCCAAGATATCAGTGTGAAAGTTGGTTAATTATGCAAATTAGGTGATTAATATGCACAAATATTTACCAGAAACTCATTGGGTCTGCATAATTCTAGATTCATTGAAATGTGATGATTAGTACTTTAGATATCAGTAGAAAAGCTGAAAATTAATTATGCAAATTATTTATTAATATGCACAATTATTTGCCCTAAAACTAATCAGGTCTTTGCATAGTCTAAAGGATCTATGTACCAAGTTTCATTGAAATGCGATGATTAGTACTTGAGATACCCGTGGAAAAGCTGAAAATTAACTAATTATGCAAATTACATGATTAATATGCACAAATATTTATCGGAAACAATCAATCTCTGCATAGTCCTTGAGTATGTAAGTACCAAGTTTCATTGAAATGTAATGCTCACTACTTGTATCAAATGCTGAAAATTAATTATGCAAATTAGGTAATTAATATGTACTGATATTACCATAAAAACTATCAGGTCTGTGCAGTGTCATATGACATCTATGTACCAAGTTTCATTGAAATGTGATGATTAGTACTTATATCAAATGCTGAAAATTAATTAATTATGCAAATTAGGTAATTAATATGTACTGATATTACCATAAAAACTATCAGGTCTGTGCAGTGTCAGATGACATCTATGTACCAAGTTTCATTGAAATGTGATGATTAGTACTTGAGATATCAGTGGAAAAACCGAAAATTGACTAATCATTATGCAAATTAGGTAATTAATATGCACAAATATTTATCCCAAAACAATCAATCTCTGCATAGTCCTTGAGTATCTATGTACCAAGTTTCATTGAAATGTAATGCTTACTACTTGAAACATCAAAAGCTGAAAATTAATTAATTATACAAATTAGGTAATTAATATGCACTGACATTACCTTAAAAACTATCAGGTCTGTGCAGTGTCATATGACATCTATGTGCCAAGTTTCATTGAAATGTGATGATTAGTACTTGAGATATCAGTGGAAAAATCGAAAATTGACTAATCATTATGCAACTTAGGTAATTAGTAATTAGGTAATTTTTACCAAAAACTAATCAAAACCTAGCATTAGTTTAGAGCATGTATGTACAAAGTTTCATCAAAATCCAATGAGTGGTTGTTTAGATATCAGTGGAACAATCATGGAACAGCTAAAAATCAGCTAATTATCATGCAAATTAGGTAATTAATATGCACGGATATTTACCAAAAACTAATCAAATTTGCGCATATGTTCAGAGCATCTATGTACCAAGTTTCATCAAAATCCAATGAGTGGTTCTCTAGATATCAGTGGAACAGTCATAGAACAGCTAAAAATCAGCTAATTATCATGCAAATTAGGTAATTAACGAGCATGGATTTTTACCAAAACCTAATCAAATCTGCGCATTGGCCCAGAGCATCTATACACCAAGTTTCATCAAAACCGATGTATGGTTCTTGAGATAGCAGTGGAACAGTCGGA